AGATTCTCTAAGTGGAAACAAATTGAAAAGTTAAATGCCCATGAAAATAGTTACATGTCATCGTGAGTCATTTGCTGCTTGGAAAGAAACTGAGCGCCGGATTCGTCTTCAAAGTGGCATTGATGAAGAGCTGCAAAGGCAAATTTAGCAAGAAAAAAATAAATGGAGATATGTACTGCGACGGTTGCTGGATTGTACACAACATTTAGCTTCTCAGAATCTTGCATTTCGTGGTCATACTGAGGACATAACCTCAAACGAAAACCCTGGAAATTTCCTGTCACTTTTGCAGTTATTAGCAAAGTATGATTCAGTAATGAGAGACCATTTAGAGCGTGTTAAAAACAATCAAACGTCAACATCTTATCTTTCTCCTGAAATCCAAAATGAGTTTATAAATCTCATGGCTTCTTCACATGTGTGAAATTGTTGTTTGTCAGCAATTCGTAGAAACAAATATTATGGTATTCTGTTTGATTCCGCACCTGATTTAGCCCATCGTGAGCAATTGGCCCAATTGATTCGGTTTGTTGACATTGACTTTAAGACAAGAAAAGTAGAAGTCAAAAAGTCATTTATTGACTTTATACAGATAAAGGAAAAAGATGCTTCCAATACTGAGAAAAGAATAGGCACAAAATTAGAAGCGGATGGGATTTTATTGAGTGATTGTTGTTCATAATGTTATGATAATGCTGCTGTCATGTCAGGTCATCTGTCAGGCGTTCAACAAAGAATTCTGAACAAAAATCCAAAAGCAGTGTTTATAAACTGTGACAACCATAGTTTGAACTTAGCATATCTTCATGCTGCAAGTCAGGAAACAACAGTTATTACCTTTTTTGGTATAATTGAAGCCATTTATAATTTCTTTGCTCATTCAACAACTCGAACGGATGAACTACAGCAGGAGCTTAAGATCTCTGTTAAACGTGAATCAGAAACACAGTGGAGTGCAAGAGAAAAGGCAGTAAAAGTTGTACACTAAAAACTGGATGAATTGCTAGGCTAGGACTGTTAGAGCAATTAAGTGAGAATGGCAACATGGCTGAAACAAAATGTGGTGCTCATAATATTCTGCAACGCATGCTTACATTTGATTTTCTTGTACTTTTGCATTTTTGGAGAAATCTTTTATCATCTCTCAATCGAGTACAGGATCCAAAAATAAATTTTAGAGAAGCAGCTGCTGATCTTTATTCTTTGAAAGAGAAATTGATAGAATCACATGAAACATCCTGTCAAGAAGCACTTAAAGTGGGCAAGAATCAATGTGAAACATGGGGGATTGATCACTGAAAGAAGAAAAATATGTCATAAACAAACAGGAAATTTATTGCATCATGAAGGATGTTATTGATTGCTTGATTACAAAAATAACAGAAAGATTTTCTCGCTTACTAGATTTAGATTCCTGTTTTGTATTTCAACTACATGTGTAAAATATTGTTTCTGGAGATTTCAA